CAATTAAATTTTTTTGGGCAAACAAAATAATGTTTACCTTATTTTCATATTGCATCATACGGAACGAATCATTCAGCCATTTTCAATATATTTATAATGTCGTTTTGTCATGTTTTTTGTTCCTTCCCCCGCATTCTATTCATTGTTTTGTTTGCTGATTTTTTGTTTTGTTAATATTTGTTCTACACTAATCTAATTGTTGTTTGTCATACTCTTGAATCCTGTTTATCAGCTGTGTTTGTTTGTTCGTATACATTCGTACACATTGATCTTATTTGATTTTTGATTTTCTTTCTTTCATTTCTTGATTCGCACTATAGCAAGTGATTTAAAATCCGATTTTTTTTTTGATTTTTATATGTACAGTGTGTGTGTATTGGTATCTTCTCACTGTTCACATTGAAGATCATTGTTATTCAAGTCTTTTGTGTTGGGATTTATTTATTTTGGTTGTTGTATATTTTGGTGAATTGGTGTGAATGATGTTTGTATGTTGTCTATCTATCTCTCGTTCTGTGTGTTTGTATGTGATGCCTTGTTATTATTTTTCTTGTTTATCTAAACCCGAAAGAAAACAAAAATCATTCGAATGATGATGATGATGATGATGACAATGATTCATATGATAATGTGGACACACACACACACACACACACAAACATTACGAATGATGATATCGATAGAGTGAAAATAGGGATAAAATGAAAATGAAAAATGAAATTTGTTGCAGGCTTTTTCTAATGAAATTTTTTTTTTTTTGATTTATTTTCCATTTTGTTTTTTTTTGGATTTTTTCAATGATGATACCCGCGAACCGATGCAATCGGATTCGATTGAAGTTTTTATTTTTTTGTTGTTGGTAAAATATATAGTGAAGAGAGAGAGAGAGAGAAGAGAAAATATGTGACCGAATGTTTTGTGTTATTTCGGGTTTGTTTTTGTTTCCCGAGCTTCCGGATGCTGTTGTTGTTGATTTTTTCCCGTTTTTTCTGCTTAATTAATTAATTAATTATTTTTTCTCTTTCGGTTTTTTTCCCACTTGATTCTCATTCATTCATTGGTTATCTCCTATCTATTCTACATTCTGCAAATTTTCATATTTATCATCAACGTCATCGTCATCGTCACTCCCACTGTAAATTTTAGGTGTAGTTTGCCTTCATTAGCCAAACGACATGTTGCTATTGCAAGATTA